AGACAACATACTGTTTAAGCTCCCATTGGCTGACTTAGTTGCTATGCCTATTCATTGGCTGACCTTGTTACTCCCAGTCATAAATACTCTAACAATTTTTAAAGTTTTTTTTAATGTATATTTTATTTATACATTTATCTTTAGTAAACATAAAAATCCAATATCTATATGAACAGTATGTTGTCTGGGTACACTTAATTTTGAGAAACAATAATAGTAATAATAACAATAGCCATAACATTGATAATAATCACATAATAATATTTGCTTATCCATATTAATAATCCTTCATTGTATATAATCATTTTCTTAAACTTTTAGATTTCTAACTTCTGTTTCTGTTAGCTAAACATTGGTAGAAGAAATCCCATGTTAAAAAATATTCTGTCTTCCTTCTCCTTAACTTTAAGCGTTAATCTATCCATTTCTGCACTTTCTAATATTTTTTTTATTAGACTTTCATCTGTAGGGATCTTTTCGTTTTTCCACTTTATTTCCACCAGTATTTTTAAAGTTTTGTAGTACAGATTTTGTAGTACAGGTACTCCTCTACTTACAACAGTTCATTTAGTTGCAACAGCACTGACAAAAGTGTCTTAGGACCGTTTCCTACACATGATTGTTGCAGCATCCCCATGTGATTTACATTTGGGTGCTTGACAACTGACTCAGATTTATGACGATTGCATTGTCTTGGGCTCATGTACCTTTGCAACCTCCTGACAAGCCAAATCAATGGGGAAGCCAGATTCACTTAACAACCATGTGACTAATTTAATAACTGCAGGGATTCACTTTACAAATGTGACAAGAGAGGTTGTAAAATGGGGCAAAACTCATTTAACACATGTCTTACTTAGCAATATAAATTTTGGGTTTATTTGTCGTAAGTTGAGGACTATCTGTATTTGATTTATATAGTTTTATTTTTCATTTTACTATTAAATCGAGTTACCCTGTGGTAAGATGGGAGGCCAATAAATTGATTGTTTGATTAAATAAATAAAACGTTCATGAAAAATAAGTGTTTCCCTTTTGTGTAAATAAAAACACGAGTTGAAGTTACTTGCGATCTAAATAGAATTTCCTTGCTTATTACAGAGTTCTTCTAGAATTGCCCAAGCACCTTCTCCATGCGTCGGAAGGTAATACCGCAAACTTATTCTTGTTACAAACATTAATTTTCTTTTCTGGTTAATTGTAAGATTACATGTAGACCAAAAGTATGAATTGGTTGGAAACCAGTTTGATGATCTCAAAATACAATCGTTGCTGGTTAATGTCTCAGGCTCTTGCTTATTACTTTGGATTTGATGGCCTCTTGCTATGGAATTCGGAGGGTTAGCTTTTGAGTAGGGATGTAGAGATGGCCTAGCATTCTGCTCAAAGGAAACTACCGTATTTTTCAGAGTATAAGACGCACCGGAGTACAAAACACACCAAGATTTTGAAGAGGCAAATTAAAAAAAAAAAAGTTTTTGTACTCTGCAGTGCAAAAACGGCCCCATTTTTCATAAAAAATGGGCATGCATTTAGGAGGCTTATAGAGGACTCCTGGGGCCTGGGGGCCTGGGGGGAGAGAAAGAGCAATAAACGGCCCATTTTTTGCTCATTTCTGCCCTCCCCAGCCCCAAGGAGCAGTCTGGAAGCCTTCTAAAGGCTATGTACAGCCAATTTGGTGAAGTGGGTGGGGTTTCGGGAGGCCAAAAATGCTGTATTTAGTGTATAAGACTCACCCAGATTTTCACCCTCTTTTTTGAGGAAAAGGGGTGTGTCTTATACTCTGAAATACAGTATGTATCACAAGGTAGATTTGGAGTGAGGTGATCTGCGTTCAAATCCTTCTTCCGTTATAAAACTCATAGGATCCATAGTTTAGAGCAAGGCCTTCCTCCCTCCCTCTCTCTCTCCCTTCCTTCCTTCCTTCTTAAGCTGGTTTATGATGCATGTTTTTATCTTTGCTGTCCTGGGCAGAACAGAATGCATTAACTTTTCTCCAAAAGCAGAATACGCCACCCTTTGTAATGTCAAGGCCCTCGTCATAAATTTAGAAATCAATAGAATTCATGCTGACTTAAGGGGTACGTGGAAGTTGAAGTCGTAACGGAAGGAACAGGCACCAGGTTGGGTAATCAAAAGTTATCAAAATAGCTTTGGAATCAGTAGGACTTAAACAAGTGCTGGTGACCGAACAGGCTAAAATGCACTTGTTCAAAGCTTAGCATTAGGATAGACTTCGACTTAAAATCAGAATTAGCACCAGAGTTTCTGTTGGTGACCAATGCATGCTGAGCATAGGGGATCAACCAAAGAAGGAAGGGAAGTAGAGCAAGAGATTTCAGAAAATAAGGTATTGATTGATAAGGCAATTAAGTGAATCATGCCTGCTCTTACAACCTCTTAGGCAACGGTGAATAGCTGCAGTTGTTAAATGAATTGTACCGTCTTTCAGTGAATTCAGCTTCCCCCATTGACTTTGCCCGTCGGAAGGTCGCAAACAACCCCAGGACCGTGCAGTCATCATAAATACCGTATTTTTCAGAGTATAAGACGCACCCTTTTCCCTAAAAAAAAAAGAGGGTGAAAATCTGGGTGGGTCTTATACACTGAATACAGCATTTGTGGCTGTATTTTGGCGAAACCGCACCCCCTTCACCAAAATAGCTGTATATAGCCTTTAGGAGGCTTCCAGAGTGCTCCTGGGGGCTGGGAAGGGCAAAAACGAGCAAAAAATGGGCCATTTTTTGCTCATTTTTGCCCCCCAGCTCCCAGGAGCACTCCATCAGCCTCCTAAAGTATGCATGCCCTTCTTTTGGCAAAGAAAACCG